TTGAGGGATACTGCTGCATGCATCCTGTGTGAGCCCTGGGACACAGCCACCATCTTCTTAATTCCTTTATTAGTTTCTAGCATAAAGTTGGTGGTTGCCTAATGTTTCCTGAAGAAAAATAAGAATTCTGTATATCGGTTTCACTTCTACTGTAATTAAAAGACCCAGGCACTTGGTCCCCAGCATGCCAGAACTTTAATTAATCTGTGAAGGCTGTGGGCAGGGAGAATTGTATGAGAAGGCTTGGGGAGGGAGCTTCAAGCCCTCTTCCTCTGGAACCTCTGGACCACGGGCTTTTAGAGCACATTACGTTGTGAAAATCGGCTTTGCCCACGTGCCCCCTTGTGTTTCTCCCAGGAAATTGTAAAGTCTTAGACGACACACTTACACATATGTGTGCACTTACTATCTATACATGTATGCACACATACAGAGAAACAGTCGTAGCTAGATTGCCTCCATTGTACACATTATTTCCGTTAGAATTCTGACACATAAAACTGATATCACGCTTCTTATTCAGCCTGATTTAGAGTGATTCTAGTGCAAATTTTACACATAAAGAGGGGAGCATTAGTTGCCCATTGCTTATAAATGGATGCTAAACCACAAATTTTCTACATATTGTAAAGGCCATCTCTGTTATCTAATACAGAAACACTGACTAAACTTAAAGTTGGACAGTGTGTGATTATGATTTATCTGGAGCGATGTGCATATAACTTAAATAATTTATAAGAAAAATAAAATTATAAAACAGAATCACAATAAACAATTCCTTTCATATGTTGCTGAACTGAGTACATGACCGAGTTAAAATAAATTTGTATATGGCATTGTAATAAGTTTTTGAAAAAATTCTAGATTCTTTACAAAATTTATAATGCAGTTTGAGCCCTATGCTTACTTTTCATTGAATAAAATGTCACTAATCATTCAAAACTAAATGGTGTATCTTTATAGTTTTCCACTAATGGTGTCATATTTATTAAAAGAAAAACATTTCCAGTTATACAGTGTTAAAAACAGACTAGGTAAATTTCAATTTTCTCGAGCAGGAAAAGTGTTCTAGACGTGAGCAGCATCCAGTCCAAAGATGGTTCAAACCATCCAGCCCCATAGCACGGGCCATATTTATAGTCGGGGCAAGGAAGTGTCAAGAGAAGACGCGTGATTGGCTGCAGTCAGCCGGGCCTTGTACGGTTAGGTTTGCTGGCTTTCGGCCTCTGATTGGCTGTGCAGTGGCAGCGTTAGCTGTGCCTCCTTTGCTTGGTTGCAAGGGTCCCTTCTTAGGCTGGGTTACAGTTGCCACAGTGTACTGTGTCTAGAAGCTGCTTTGGGCCAGAGTAATCATTTAGTACAGAGGCTGAATTAGCCCAAATATACTTTGATTCAAGATTTTTAAAAAAAATAGTTTTCTCCTATTATTAAGTACCAATAGCAGAGAAAATATATCAGTAATTTTTTTCCAGAGTATCCCTAGGGTGGGGTCACCCAGGGGAATTGATAAACAGGCAGTACAAGCCGTCATCCGCATTTCAGTTTACTTTGTAAAAGCCCGTTGTGCCGGCCTCCCCGTGTTTTGCAGTGGTGTTTGGACAGTTTGCCTACTTCCAGACAGCCCTCAACGACCTGGCTGAGCTGTTTGACGGAACTCATCCGCAGGCCAGGCTGCTCAGCTCCCTCTCCGGCTCTCACTCCGGTAAATGCCTGGAATTTTGTCTGTAATTCCCTTTGGGCTACTTGGTTGATTGATTTTAAACTTGCCTCTTTCTTTCTCTCTTTTTGATGAATGAGAAATTTAATCATCTTTGAATTTTCAATTGTGTTAGTAAAATTTTATTTTAAACGAAATATTTCAAATGTGTAAAGCCACCTGCTTTCATCACTTTACTTTCTAAGATTTCGAAGAATATAATAATCATCTCAATAAAAGAAGCAAATGCCACAAAAATGAAGAGTCAATAAACTCTCTTTTTTGTTATCTTCTATTCTGTATTTCTTGATCTTCCTCCTGGAGATAAAGACAATTAACATTTTGGTCTCAGTCATCCTAACCCTACAAATATAGACATGTGGAAACCCAATACCTGCTAACACAAGTATGTGTGTACATGTGTATGCATATATCCATACACATGCATACGCATGTAAACATACATGAGACCTCATGAAACATGGAACATTATTTCACAACTTGTTTTCATTTAAAGTGACACATCTAAGTGTTTCCTTATGAAACACATAAATGAATATCAGCAGCAGTAGGTTTGTGCTGGGTGGTGCTGTGCTAGGTTAGTGTAGCACAGAGTACTTAGCTCCGCCCTTGGCCAGTGCTGCAGCTCCTCCTTGTACACCTGCTGTGTGCTTCCATTCACTGAGAAAATTTGCCAGGTGGTGCTGTGTGCACCACAACTTCAGCTAAGGCAAAGGTTTGATTATTTTTCATTTTTTCAACGTTATCCAAAAATCTGAACACCAGTGTGGTGTTATTTTCTGCCGATACCCGAGGCAATTGTGTTTAGGAAGGCATCACAGAATACGCATTTTTAACCTGCTGAAATGTAGGAACCAGCTCTCAGCACTGCCACACAGAGTGCTATGTGTGCATTAAAGGGTTAAAAATACACATCTGGAGGCTTTATTCTGAATCCTGTAATTTTTTTTTTTACAGTTTTGGTTTCAGAGACATTTTTCAGTTTTTATGTAAAATCCTACTTAGTCATTACCAAATTAAGTTGACACCAAGTGAATAATTCACCCAGCGCTTGGACCGCTGTCTCCTGGACATGGGGACTTCAAACAGTGCAGGGCCCATGACCTTTCTGATGACCATCGTTCGTGTTCATGGATTTCAATAATATTTGCATCAAATGAACTTTTGTTTGTTTTCCACATGCATTTAGAAATAATATATTATATTTTGAGCTAATAGTCCTGCTACTGTTTTCTTCAAAAGTAGATAGTAATTATAGAATTCACAGTCAATTATAGTTTTTAAAATCTTGATAAACACATTTTGGGTCGTCAACCCCAAAGCAAAGTAATTGTTGTTGTTAAGTTCAAAAGTTAAATATGAAATTTCAGGTTGATATTTATTTACCAAAATCCTCCTTTCTGCTGCAGCACGGTGCGGCTTCTAGATGCAGGTTGTTCACTCTGTTTCTAATTCTAGGTGAAACGCTGCCGTTGGCAACATCAAATCAAATTCTGCTGCGATTCAGCGCCAAGAGTGGGGCATCTGCGCGGGGCTTCCACTTCGTTTACCAAGGTGAGCCTGGCTTTGCAGTCCCTGCCGCCCCCTGCTGGCCACTCACCGCCCTTCTTCCAGTTAAGGCGCTGCAAACTGACTTGCAGAAATCTTCGGAACATGCTTGCGTGTTGCATCCAAGTGAGATGTTTCACAGTCACAGTGGTCTCCATCCTTGCGACCGGTCACCCAAATGCATTTATAGTGCCTTGCACAGTTATGTGTCTTGTGTAAAAAATACTAGCGTAAAGCACAATTGAATGAAAACCAAAGTACGAAGTATCACTCGTGCATCTATCAGTCGCCCTAGTTACCTAGCAGTTTGCTTTTATTTTGTTAACTTCTGGCACCGCTTCATCTTTACACTGGATTTTGAATTTGACACCTGATCAGTACTAATCTGAGACTGCTCAGAAGTCGTGGGGAGGAAGAATCTGTCCTCTGCTGTTCTGCGCCTCTGTGTTGCACGTCCGTCACGTGCCCCTGAAAGGACCGGCAGACACTGAGCACCAGGGACACAGCAGGTGTCTGTGCGGCCGTGTGTGACAGAGCCGCCGGGGACCGCAAGGGGCTAGCGTCTGCGGGGAGAAACTGTCTGCTCACAGCTGAGAAGCAGTGCGTGGGTTTCCTAGGCACCAGTTTGCTCAGGGCCAGACCTACTCAACTTTCTTCTTCAGAACTGGGCTGGAATCGCTCCTTATAGCAGTGTCTTTCCCTTAATGGAAACTTCTACAGAAGCTGTTTTTGAGCACCTAGTTTTTAAGGAATTATGTAGAATAACAATGTCATGTTTTTTACAGATCGTCTGTAATAATTTTACCTCGTAAAAGCATGCTCTCAAAATAGTTCACTGTACAAACTCTCCAGTTTTCAGCCAAAAGATGAGGTAAAGGGTAACGGGAAGGGTGAGATTGATTATTTGCCACCAATAGGGAGGCAAAATCTATAGCTCATTCAAGGGGCAGTGGATTGAATGATGAGGCTATAAAAGTAAAAGCGGTGATGTCGTTGGGTTATATGTCATATTTCACGGAATTAAGATGTAAATAATTAACGAGTATTAAAAATAAGCATCATTGGAGAGTGGCCAACCTCGGTGAAACGCCTCTTACCAGTCCCAGTTTCCTGCATATAAATCGCATAGTGCTTTGCCTAAGCAGACGCACAGAGCACAGTTAGGGTGACATAGAAAGAGGGCTGCTGGACGTGGAGGACGGTTTTCTCCTAGAAAGCTCCAAGTGGCTGGCATCGGCTGCCTCTGGTTTTTGATAAAGATCAGAAAATCCATGAGAGAAAATATTTCATGTAAATGAACCAACGTCTAGCCTATCTCCTAATGCTACCCTCAGAAGGCATGCTTTTAGAAATGTTTCCTTACTTAGAAAAATGCGTAATAATTGAAATACATAAAATACAGAAAAGTAGAAAGAAAAAGTCATTTATAGAAGGAACCTATTTTCCTTGCACTTAAAAATACATAATGACTTCAACATCTTCAATATTTTATAAGTCCCAATATATCTTATTTTGTTTCTACTGGTAAGCTTATACAAAAACTTATTTTTTAATCAAATCTGAATACTTTGAACAAAAGAAACTAGGATCATGAATGCAATTTTTAAGTCATTTACTAGCACAAGGATCATTTTCAATGACCAAGAAAAGCTAAATTGAAACATTGCTTCTTGAAAGATAGCAGTTAGGTTGAAGACTAGACGTTATTGGTCCACCACTGCATTAACTTTGTCTGAATATTGTTCCCGCACACACTTGCAAGCTTAGAGCCACACAGACTCCCATGCTTACAGGAGCACTAACCCTGTTAACAAACAATGCCAGCACTGCTGCTGGAGTCTTGCATGAAACCTATGGGTGCAGTGTCAGGGTGCAGAAGGCTGTTGGTGACCACAGGTGTACAAAGAACTCAGTCTCTGACCCGTGGGCCCCTGCCCCTCCATGTCTTCCTGGGCAGGGGTGCAGGAAAAATGTTAATTATGCTGATGTTGCTGTCTTTCTGGACTTGTGGATCCGGAAGGGTAAAGGGATGCTAACAGACTCCTACTATGTAGCCTGTGAGTCGGCCTTCTTGGGTCTTGTTCACGTCTTCATTTCCCACCTTACTTGAGAGTAGAAGGCTATACATGAAAAGCCCGTGGGAGGAGAGAGCACCAGTTAGAACTGCAGGTCTCCTGGGAAGGCCCTCTGTAACACGGCACTTGCCTGCTCCTCAGTATCGGTTTCTCAGCAAGACAATGTGTCGCCACCCATGCAGAGCCGTGTTCCAGACTGAGTTCCTGGATGCCAGCTTCTGCCTTTGCAGCCACTTTAGGAGCGCACCAGCAGACCGAAGAGCTCTGACTCTCTCTCTCTGTGCCTGTCTCTGTCACTCTGCCTTTGAAATAAAGATGGAGAAGAGCCGGGAGGTGGGGGGAGAGGAGACTGACTTGCCATTATCTGCTCTCTCCCAAGGGTATCGGTAGGAAGCTAGATCAGAAGTAGAGGTGGGACTCAATACCAGGCACTGGGGTGAGCTATGCAAGCCCCCAAGGGGCACTTCACTGTCCGCGCCACAATGCCAGCCCACGACCTGCCCTCTAGCATTCATGGTAGAATAGTTCATCGAAAGGCCTTCTTGAAGATGAACGGAGCTAGAAATGTCGACACCTTTCTCAGTCTGCATGAGGATATGGAGAGTCCTTCCTGAGCCAAGTCACGTCTGGGTTGATTTCCTTAGTGGTCTCTTCTTGTACATGGCATGAGTCATAAGGCTTACGTGGCTTTTTGCTTCTTACAAACTCACATTTTTATGAAGAGCATATAAATGCACAGTTTTCACAAAGAAGTTTCAGCATAGAATTTTGTTTGCAAGTCAGTGATACATAGTTGAATTTGTTGACTGGCAGCAACTTGTCAAACCAGATTTTTCAACTACTAGAGGGGAATGACACTGAGAAATCGAAAATGTCCCTCAGCCACTGCGCAGAACAAGAAACTGCCTCGCCAGGATCATGGAAGCCGCTCCTGCCTGCATTCAGGTTCCTCTTAGTGCCAACGCTGTCATGGTGTTCATGGCACAGGTGCCGGGAGAGGGCTGCAGCCCAGAGCTGGCCCAGCCCGTGTGGGGGTGAAGGATGGTGAGCAGATACATCCCATTACACATCTGCTTCTTCCTCGGCTGTTGTGCGTCACGCACCCTGCCTCCCGCTCTCCCTCTTCCGCAGTCCCAGAGGGCAGCCCAGCTCTGCAGCAGCCCGTGCGGCGTGGGCAGTCAGTCCTGTTCCTCACCCTTCCCATCCAGGCCGACACCATTCCCGGCTCACTTTTCCACTGGGCTGACGCCAGTTCTGTTTCACAGTGGTCTGAAGCACTTGCTACAGCATACAGGATGATTACCACAGAGAATGGAATTTCTCTCTGATGTGTCTGAAATGTCCAGGGGAGGGGCGAGAGGCAGGTTGACTGCAAGGGAAGATCCCAGAGCCCCACTTGTGTCTCTCCCCAGACACCACATGTGCGTTGATGGGTCCGTCCCACAGGTTTCTCCTTTGCCTCTTTCTGACACCTCACACTGATCTTTTCTCTGCACTCCCCGGACCACTTCCTCTGAGACACAGTCTTTGATTTCATTCGATGCAGAAGGACTTCCTGCCTTGTGCCCTTCTTTCAAGTGGACACTGTGACCTCGTGCAGAAAGGTGCAGCAGTGGCTCCTGCCCAGTGGCCCTTGAGGCCGTGCTCCCACTCATCTTGGAGAGCCTAGAATGACAGTGACACCCTAGAAATATTCAAACGATAGATGCTACACTTGACGCCTCTTAGATAAGTGGAAACTGCCACAGATAGTGGGTGCTTTCCAAGAAATTCAGCACGAGTAGGAAAATTACCATTGGAGAAATTCTTCATCTCTGTAAAACACCCTTGAGATGATTGTAGAAGGCTCCAAGGGGAATTTCTTTTTCATGCCCTCTTGAAACTATAACAAAATATTCGGACATACAAATGTGAAAAATATAATTTCAAGCCACTCTTTATTAAGATGGAATATGATATTCGTTCTGTAGTTTGCTTGTAGTTATAGAAAAAATCAATTATGATATATCATGAATTTATTCAACTATAGCTGTTAAATGATGTAGAACTTGATTAACTTTTGCATTTTACGGAAAATATTTCAACGCTGAATTGAAATGTAGTTTAATCAAAGTAACCAGATTCACTGGCTTCTAGAACTGGTTCCTTCTCTGCAGTTACCCAAATCGTGTCTGTTGTTGTTCAGATCAGTTGAAAACCAAAAATGATGCCAATGCATTAGGAAAAGGCAGTGTGATGGCAGAAGGATTAGCTTTTTTGACAGGCAGAGTTAGACAGTGAGAAAGAGAAACAGAGAGAAAGGTCTTCCTTTCCATTGGTTCACCCCCCAAATGGCCGCCATGGCCGGCACACTGTGGCTGGCGCACTGTGCCAATCCAAAGCCAGGAGGCAGGTGCTTCTCCTGGTCTCCCATGGGGTGCAGGGCCCAAGAACTTGGGCCATCCTCCACTGCCTTCCCGGGCCACAGCAGAGAGCTGGACTGGAAGAGGGGCAACCGGGACAGAATCCGGCGCCCCGACTGGGACTAGAACCCAGGGTGCCGGTGCCGCAGGTGGAGGATTAGTCAAGTAAGCCGTGGCGCAGCCAGAAGGATTATTTTTAAAGAAGATGAGCCCACCAGCACGTTCTCTCCAAGGGCTGTGCTTGTGAATGAAGAAATACAAGAGTCAAGAATGGGATCCTGGGAATCATGCAGACAAGACTGTCTTTTGTCCTCAGGACAAAACAGAATAGGCTGTGTTTTAGAAGAGGCTGGCGTTGCAGACCTCCGCACCAAGGGAAGCATCTGCACACTTTGGCTAAGAGCATGCCTTGTGGGGTCGGTTTCAACACACCCACAACGTGACTGTCTCGTCCCTCACTGCGTTGTGACATCCTGTCAATGCCCAAGACCAACAAACACATGACACACAACTCCCATGGCACTACTCGGGTTTGACTTCCTCCACCAGTGAGAACCCACGCAGTGGCAAACCTCAGAAGTCTCAGAAAGAGAATGAGGGAGCCTAGGGCTGGATTCTGGCTAGTTCAGGACACTCAGGGGAGGAATAATGACAATGAAATTTTGCTGTAGATGTGATGCCACCAAAGAGGTCTTTCAGTTACTAGGTATCTAAAACTGTATCTAGGCTGGAGAAAGAACAGAGCAGGGCTGAAGCTGTAAGGAATGACCCTCATGTTAATGTCGACACTGGTCTATGGAGAATGCCATTGTTGAGCTCCGTGCCCGGCAGCTAGCACAGGGCAGGGCTGTGCTTTGCTTTTTCTTTTATGCAGCCAGTGTGTGACTTGCTTTGTTAAACTCTCTCACCACATGTGAGATGGAGCCCCCATCTCCCAACCAGGGAGAGAGAATGGACCAGGTCTTCTCATCAGCTCTGCTTCCAGTAGTGGGAGCCAAGCTACCTTTCCAGTTCCTTCCCTACCATGTAGAGTGAATATTGTTTGTATCCCATTATGTATGTACCATCTTTTTTTTTACTCTAGTAACATGAAACTTAATCTTTTGCTTAATTTACAAGTGCACCGTAGTTTTGTTAACTGTAGGCCTAATGTTGTGCAACAGATCTCTGGAACTTACTAGGTTCATGTAAGTGCAACTTTGTACCCCGTGAACACCAGCTGCCCCCTCTCTCCTTCCCCCACCCCGGTACCTGCCATTATAGTCTCTGCTTCTGTGAGTTCCGCTATTTTATATTTCTTTATATACGTGGAACCTTCGGGATTTGTCTTTCTGTGGCTGGCTTGTTCGCCCTACATAGTGTCCTAGAGTTTCATCCATGTTGCAAATGGCAAGATTTCCATCTTTGGGGCTGGCACTGTGGCACAGTCGGCCAAGACTGCATCTGCACTGCTGGCATCCTATATGGGCGCCAGTTTGTGCCCCAGATGCTCCTCTTCCAATCCAGCTCTCTGCTTATGGCCTGGAAAGGCAATGGAAGATTGTGTAAGTGCTTATACCCTGCACTCGTGTGGGGGAACTGGAAGAATCTCCTGGTTCTTGGCTTCAGATCAGCTTAGCTCCAGCCATTGTGGCCATTTGGGGAATGAACCAGTGGATGGAAGACCTCTCTCTCTCTCCCTGTCTCTCTGTAACTCTACATCTCAAACAAATTAATAAAATTTTCAAAAAAATGAAAAAAAGATTTCCATCGTTTTAGGCTTGGAATACATTGCATGCGTACCGCATTTCTTTATCCACTTGGCCCCTGTTGACCATTCAGAATGTCCGTGTCTTTGCTCTTGTGAATAATGCTGCGATGTAGCTGGAAGGGCAGGGCTGTCGTTGAGATTATGATTTCAGTTCTTTTGGACAGATACTCAGAGATGAGATTGCTGGGCGACATGGTGGTTCCATGTCTAGTTTTCTCATCACATCGCAGGGGTCGTGTTATTTGCCTCTAGGACTCTGAGGTCCTTGACTTCTCAGTCATCTCATTATCCCTAGAATGATGATTCGAGTGCTTAGTTTTCGTTGCCTCCATATCCACCCGTCCTCCTGAGGCGCTAATTCTCCTCGTGCTTGTTTCCTCCGCTGGGATGAGAGTGCCCGGCGGCCTCCGCTGGATGTGAGGATTCCGTAGACGGGAAGATGTTCCCCGAGCTGTCCCCTCCAGTGGGGGGCGTTTTGAGGTTCTGTGTTGGCACCGACTCTTGTTGGACTCAACGTATTTCCAAGGCAGTGCCTTGGCTTCTGCTGAAGATACAGATGCCGTGTTGGTTGTTTTCCCTCTAGCCGTGCCTCGTACCAGCGACACCCAGTGCAGCTCTGTCCCCGAGCCCAGATACGGAAGGAGAATTGGTTCTGAGTTTTCGGCTGGTTCTGTCGTCCGATTTGAGTGCAACCCGGGATACCTCCTTCAGGGCTCCACGGCCGTCCGCTGCCAGTCTGTGCCCAACGCCCTGGCCCAGTGGAATGACACCATCCCGAGCTGCGTGGGTAAGTGCGGTCCACGCGGCAGTCACTGCACGAGGCCTTTGTCAGATCCTATTAGCAGTACCCAGTGCTGCTTTCAGTCCCCTGTCCAGACCACCTGAGTCCACTGCACTTAGGACCTTTTAGGAAGCAATTGCCTTTACCTGAAATAATGTGAGAAGCAGCCAAATCCTAAAAAGTATTGTTTCACAACACAGGTCATCAGATTAACCGGGATAGAACATGTTTTCCTGCCCACTGTTTATTAAGTATGCCGTCAGCTCTGAACTCGGATGGATGACATGATTTCATCGGGGGGAATTCGTTATAACAGTGATTTACTCTGTGTAAAGCCCTCCTAATGAGGCGGTGCTGATGCATGTTTGGAAAGCAGTAAGCTAGAGCGGCCTGCGGGGGAAGGCCTGATTGGCTAATCTGCCTCATGTGCTCCTACACTCGTGTTAGCACCTGCATTCATTGTGCATTGTAAGCATCTCCGGCTCCCTGCACTGCCTCGGAACCCCACCTGCATGGTCGGGGATGGCGTGTCTGCACGTGGAAGATAATTCTCTGCCATAACTTGTGCAGAGTCACTTCCGAGATGCCGTGGCTGGTGTGAGAGCCTCAGATGTATCTGCACACCCAAATCTGTAACTTAATGGCATCACAGATAGGAGTCACTTGCGTTGCCACTGTAACTGAAAACAGCCTACATGTTCCCTGGCTACTAGTCCCATTTACAGTGTCTTGGTCCCTGAAAAACCCCCAGTATCCTGTCACCCACAGTGCTGGCGCCTCCTTGTGTGCCATCCTCATTGCTATGGCTCTGTCTTTAGTCCCCTGCAGCGGCAACTTCACACAGCGGAGAGGCACAATCCTGTCCCCTGGCTACCCGGAGCCCTACGGGAACAACCTCAACTGCGTCTGGAAGATCATAGTTACGGAGGGATCGGGGATCCAGGTCAGTCCGCAGAGGCCAGAGCCAGAAACAGGCCCTGCGCCCCCCCCCCCCCCGCGCCTACCAGCCCTGCCTGCTTCTCTAGCAGTTGTTTTAAACAGAGTAGGACATGTTTCTCTTATATTCTCGTATGGTGATAAAATATTCCCGATCGTGTTTCTCTTTTCGGGGTAGAAATAGTCAACTTGTGAATCAGAGCTCTCAGAAACGCCATTATGGAAATTTCCATATATATTAATTGATATCTGAACCATAGCAAATCTCTTCTGATGAGACTCACGTTGTCAAGCAAAATCAGACACTAACTTGACTTGTGGCTTGGTAGATTCAGGTGATCAGCTTTGCCACGGAGCAGAACTGGGACTCCCTGGAGATCCACGACGGCGGAGACGCGACCGCACCGAGGCTGGGGAGTTTCTCCGGTAAGACGCCGCCGAGGCCGCGCTCTCTGTCTGGGAGTGAGACTCTGCAGACGCGTATTAAGCAGCACAAACAGGGAGCCCTCCATGTGAGCTTTTCTCAGGAGACTGCCCCATCTCTCCAGAAGGGTTCATGTGCCCAGCCCAGAGCAGGTGGGCTCCCCAGGAGCCCTCCCTCGGGAGCAGAAGCCCCCTGCCCGTGTCAGACAGCAGAGCTGTGACACGAGACAGCTCTGAGTCTGGGGGTGGGCAGTGGGCAGTACAGGGGTGGGGTTCAGGTAGACAGGAGGCCACACTTCTCTGCTCTGAGAAGAGGGGGCCCAAGGGTTAGTATCTGGGGGAGTCACCTATGCACTGAGGCCTCAGAGAGTCCACAGAGCCTCAGCTGTTTGTCCCTAGAACTGCACACGGGTGCCATCTTACTTGTCAGCAACCCAGCCTGAAGCTACAGTTGAGGTGATTCAGTCCTTCGCTGCTCTTTCTAGCACCTCCTGCATTCACACACCACCTGCGTCATCCGCGTCTTCTCCAGACGCCCTGGCTGGTCTTCTCCTCCTGTGTTCACACACCAACCTGTGCCATCCGCGTCTTCTCCAGACGCCCTGGCTGGTCTTCACCTCCTGCATTCACACACCAACCTGTGCCATCCGCGTCTTCTCCAGACGCCCTGGCTGGTCTTCTACCTCCTGTGTTCACACACCAACCTGTGCCATCCGCGTCTTCTCCAGACGCCCCTGGCTGGTCTTCACCTCCTGTGTTCACACACCAACCTGTGCCATCCGCGTCTTCTCCAGACGCCCTGGCTGGTCTTCACCTCCTGTGTTCACACACCAACCTGTGCCATCCGCGTCTTCTCCAGACGCCCCTGGCTGGTCTTCACCTCCTGTGTTCACACACCAACCTGTGCCATCCGCGTCTTCTCCAGACGCCCTGGCTGGTCTTCACCTCCTGCATTCACACACCAACCTGTGCCATCCGCGTCTTCTCCAGACGCCCTGGCTGGTCTTCACCTCCTGTGTTCACACACCAACCTGTGCCATCCGCGTCTTCTCCAGACGCCCTGGCTGGTCTTCACCTCCTGCGTTCACACACCAACCTGTGCCATCCGCGTCTTCTCCAGACGCCCCTGGCTGGTCTTCACCTCCCGCATTCACACACCAACCTGCGTCATCCGCGTCTTCTCCAGACGCCCTGGCTGGTCTTCACCTCCTGTGTTCACACACCAACCTGTGCCATCCGTGTCTTCTCCAGACGCCCTGGCTGGTCTTCACCTCCTGCATTCACACACCAACCTGTGCCATCCGCGTCTTCTCCAGACGCCCCTGGCTGGTCTTGCTTTGCGCATGAGTGTCACTCAGATCTCAATTCCTTGTCTTTTGTTGTAGCAGGTTATACTGCCCTCAGAGGGCACCGTTCTGTCCCACTATGTCTGGCTTCAGCCACAAGGGGGCGGTGATCATTAGCGCCGTCACCACCCTTGCCATGGCCCTCATCAGTCGCTCATGTGGACCACACACTGGGAGTGCCAGGCTGCGCAGCTTAGTCTCAGAAACTGCTGAGCTCTCTTGTCACCCTTGCTTCACTGGTGAGGAATGAGCGTTGAGATGTTTTGGAATTCGCCAGAATGGCACAGGACACTCGTGGCTATCTAAGCCCTCCCTCGCCCGCTTCAGACGTCTTCCTTGCTCAGCTCCCTGGAGAGAGAGGCTGGCATTGCTACTTCCTTCCTCCCTTCCCAAGCATCCCCAGGTGTGGGTCGACATTCACAGTGTGACTCAGGGTCTTGTCTCTGGTCTCACACGGCCAAGGCTAACCAAGGTGTTGGGTACTAAAGTCCCTGTTTGACATTTCATTGGTATTATCACTGATGACCCATGTTTGTCTGTCGTTTGCTATTTACGCTTTTTAAGCTTTTATCTCAAAAAGAGTCCTTCGAGCTTGATCTCCAGTGCTGACTTTGCCTGACCACATCTGCTGGAACAGCTCAGCTTTGCACCTGACTTTTAAATGTCTCCCGCAGAGCAAGCAGCGTGTTCCTTGTTAGCAATAAAGGGTAAACACGACACAGCATAAAATGTGTAGGGAGGAGCCACAGTTTACCATGGTTGCCCCTGAATCATTTGGGTCATAGGCAGCAGAAGGTGTTGAGTCTCATAGGATGACAGAATATAGTGCTTTTTCATAATTTGGCAAATAAAGAGGAATATCTGGGTTAAAATGAAAAGCCCAGAACAGAGCAGTAAGGTCTAAGCAATGCAGAGAAAGAGAAGAAATCTCCCAGCAGTGAGAACCTTGAGCTTCGCGTTCACGTCTCAAGTGTGTCTCTAGCGTGTACTCAAGCTCATGTTTATGGAATGTGGTCTTTCATTTTCTAGATATTTAAATTTCTTGGAATGCACATTTATCTCCGTGCCTCCCATACACCTCCTTGCACTTGTACACACTTCTGGCAGACACCTCCTTTGCCAAGTGACTCACATAAGATCACAGATGACAGAGCTAGACACACTTTTGTATACTGTGGAACTGGCTTTCACAAAGATTTTTTGATAACGTGTCACGTTGCAATCGCTGTGCTGTAAACACTCCCACTATGGCAGCTGTCAAGCAGTCATTGTGATGTCTCTGAGCCAGGAGCCTTGGGAAGCGCTGCTCCGGTTCAGCCCCTGCAGGGAGCTGACCCCTCCCTCCCCTGACAGGAGCCAGCAGTTGAGATGGACTCACAGAACAGAGCCTTGTGTTGCTATTCTTGCCCAAAAGTTGCAGCTTGAGTCATGCAAAGCAGCAAACTTAAATTGAAAAATATTCCATAAAGAAATGAGCTTGTTTCTTCCCAAAAGTACTAAGGAAAGGTAAGGAAAGGCTAAGGCACTCCTCTCTACCAGAGAACACTGAGTGCCTGCAGGGATCCTGGAGGGAGCCCCTGGCTTCGGAACTGCCACTGGCAGATGCCGTGAGTGTACGTGGTATCTGCAGATTGGATCGCAGTGCTGCACTTGTGCTAATGGGATTTGAGAGCCACTTTGCTTTAAGAAATGAATACTGGATTTTTATATCAGATTGTAGTCACTGTGTTTGGAACATATCTGAAAATGGTTTGGAATAAGTTATTTTAATACAGGCATATGTATATATGTATCATAGATTAATAGATATAAATAAATGAAGATAGATAAGTTATATCACATAAAGGGACACAGTAGATAAATCAGGGTTTTTGGTACTAGACTTGTAACTTTTAAGTCAGAAATCATTTCAAAGGGAGTTTTTTGAAAAAAGACAAATCAGCCATAAAATTTGAATATTTTAATAATTTATATTTAAATTTTTTTGTTCCTGTGATACTTTCTAAAATATTTATAAAAAAATATTAAGTCCATCTTAATGGTCATTGAATAAAAAGAAATAAGAATGAGTAGTTATAAGAGGTACAATTTCAGGAAAAATTATTGACACTTTTAATAATTTACTGTTTTGATTTTTCTTATTTTTCTTTTCTACTTGGACATTATTGTAAACCACTTAAATCATTTTTGGAAGCAGACAAGTTGTACATTATAAAGGAATAAATTAGAAAAATGCATACAGATTTGTAGCTGACAGCATTAAAGAGAAGTAGTATTGGTTTACAGAGAGTAAGATCTTCAGGAACAATTTTAAAATTCCTCTGATTCCTTTGTTACGTGTTGTTCTATGTAGGTCACAGGAAAACAATATGATCAAAAACATTCTATCTGTGGCAACATTTCTAAAAAATTACTCAGCTGCATTACGTGCATTGAGAATAAGCTCCTTTTCATAGTCAGTTCTGAGAAGGGCCGAGAGGGAGAGCCGTTGCTGGCAGGCATAGCTGTGTCCTGTCCAGCTGCAGCTGGACGCTGAGGTCCTCACCGGTCTCCCAGCTCCCCCTGGCTAAAGGACGCCTGCCTGTCCTGTATAACGTCTGGGGCTCTAAGATCCAGCATTGAAGGTAGAATAGCATGTCTGGATTTCTTAACAGAAGTACAGACAGGACGGCCATTCAGGAAATCAGCTGCTGCAATTAATAATCCCATTTAGAAGGAACACGACCTTCACAAAGCACTACATGCACAGCTCATGTATTACTCACATGTGACAGGTGCATTCGTTCTCAGAAGATGTGTTTTTCTCTCTTTCTTTCGTCCTCCCTCCCTCCCTCCCTCCCTCCCTTCCTTCCTTCCTTCCTTCCTTCCTTCCTTCCTTCCTTCCTTTGGTAGTGAGCAGGAGGCAGGAAATGGGGGAGAGAGAGAGAGGGAGAGAGAGAACTTTCACCCATTTTTTCCACTTCCTAATGTCCAAAACAGCTGAGGCTAAGCAGGCCAAGCCAGGACCCTGGAACTCCATCCCAGTCTCCCACGTGGATGACAAGGACCCACACACTTGGGCCATCATCAGCTGGCTGCCCAGGTGCATCAGCAGGAAGCTGGATTGGAGGCATGTTAACCAAAAATCAAAGGGGCTCTCCAGTATGGGATCCTGTCATCCCAAGCCGTGGGTTAACCTATGCCACTGCAATGCCCACCTTTATATATTTATTTTATAGAACTGTAACAAATTAAATATTTTTCAGTGACAGAGCTAGTACTGAAAGTAGATTTTATGATTCCACTGTAATAAGCCACAGAAGACAAACAGAGTCAAACCATAGGTATTGAATGCCTGCCATGCATAAGCAGTGCCCTGGAACCATGGGATGCAATTTTAAGTGTGTAAGGTACAGTTTCTTTTCTTCTTCTTCTTCTTCCTCTTTTTTTTTTTTTTGACATGCAGAGTGGACAGTGAGAGAGAGAGAGACAGAGAGAAAGGTCTTCCTTTGCCGTTGGTTCACCCTCCAATGGCCACCGCGGCCAGCGCGCTGCGGCTGGCGCACCACGCTGATCCGATGGCAGGAGCCAGGTACTTATCCTGGTCTCCCATGGGGTGCAGGGTCCAAGGACTTGGGCCATCCTCCAGTGCACTCCCTGGCCACAGCAGAGAGCTGGCCTGGAAGAGGGGCAACCAGGACAGAATCCGGCGCCCCGACTGGGACTAGAACCCGGTGTGCCGGCACCGCAAGGCGGAGGATTAGCCTAGTGAGCCACGGTGCTGGCTCTTTTCTTAAATGTAATAGAGTATAAAAACCCGAACCAGTACAGAGCACTGCTTAAGCAGGAGATTCATGCATTTGGGTTCATAAAAGATCCATCACTGCACACCTGGGCAGCACGGGGACTGAGCTGATTCTCCTGGCCTTGGTAGAAGACTCACAGGTGGAAAGCAACAAAGGAAAGCTCTTTTGAAATGATTTATAGTTAGTTTGAGGGAGTAATGGAGTGGGCAGAGTCACTGATGACCCTGAATTGCAGGTGAAACCAAGAGAAAAGTAGTGCAAATAAGACAATGAAAGCTCGCTTGGCTAAATCAGACCTACAATAACACACTCTATACAAAAACGTCACAAATGCAAAATAATGCAATAGTAAGATGGCAGCAAGCTTCGCATACACTGAATAAAGCAACTTGTAATTAGTGATTGCAGTAGATGCCTCTTTCTTTTCTTGAGGTTAGCAGGGTCTTGAGGTGGGCAGTGAGTACAAGACTGCACTTCCCTTCCCCTTCCTGCCTCCTCCTCTGTCCTCATGGGCCTCTCCCATCTCTTGCAAAGTCTTGCAGCTGGGACTGGCGCTGTGGGGTAGCGGATAAAGCCGCCACCTGCAATGCTGGCTTACCATATGGGTGCTGGTTCGACTTCCAGCTGCTCCACTTTCCATCCAGCTCTCTGCTATGGCCTGGGAAAGCAGCAGAAGATGGCCCAAGTCCTTGGGCTCCTGAACCCACGTGGGAGACCCAGAAGAAGCTCCTGGCCCCTGGCTTCAGATAGGTACAGCTCCAGCTGATACAACCAACTGGGGAGTGAACCAGCAGGTGGAATACCTCTCTCTCTCTCTATCTCTCTTCCTCTCCCTCTCTCCCTCCTCCCCACCACCTCCCTCTGCCTCTGCCTCTGCCTCTGCCTCTGCCTCTGCCTCTCTGTAGCTCTGCCTTTCAAACAAATAAATAAATCTTTAAAAAAGCCTTGCAGGTACCCTGTTTGTACCTCACTTCTGGCAGAGACTGAGAAGGGAGAACAGTGTTCTTCAGACACATGAATTCCCTCTTGGGCAACAGGGCCACTTTACAAATCCCCTTTGCAAATCCCCCCATTTGCACTCCATAATCTCTTGTGTAGTTTCCAACAATAACTGCTGTTTGTTGTGTTTACACTAAGCAGCAAACAGAGGCTCACAGCTTATTCACCACAATTGTTCAGTCTAAAAAAACACCTGCCTATTCATTATCTACCTGTCTATCATCTTTCTATCTGTCATCCATCTGTGCATCATCCATCTGTCCATCAATCCAGGGTCAAACCACAAAGGAATTAATCAGCAAAGATTCTCTCTCTTTTTTTAAGTTTTTAGTTAATGAAAGCATTTTTTCATAGATACAATTTTAGGAATATAGTGGTTCTTTCTCCCAATACCCACCCTCCCACCCCAATTCCCATCCCACCTCCGTCTCCATCTCCCAGTTTGATTTTATATGTAGAAAACCAAATCCATGTTAACCATAGATTTCAACAGTTTGTACCCACACAACATAGAGAGTACAGTTTGAGAACAAGATTTGCAGTCGATTCTCATAGTACAACACATTAAGGACAGAAGCCCTACGTGGGGAGTAAGCACACATGTCTTCTGTTGTTCTTTTAACAATTAATACTCATTTTAGAAAGATTTTATTTATTTATTTGAGAGGTAGAGTCACAGACAGTGAGAGGGAGAGACAGAGAGAGGTCTTCCTTCCGTTGGTTCACGCCCCAGATGGCTGCAACAGCCGGAGCTGCGCCATTCTGAAGCCAGGAGCCAGGTGCTTCTTCCTGGTCTCCCACATGGGTGCAGGGGCCCAAGGACTTGGGCCATCTTCTACTGCTTTCCCAGGCCACAGCAGAGAGCTGGATGGGAAGAGGAGCAGCCAGGATTAGAACCAGTGCCCATAAGGGATGCCTGCGCCACAGGTGGAGGATTAACCTACTGCGCCATGGCGCCGGCCCCTAACACTCTTATTTATGATGTCAGTGATCACCCGAGGCCCTTGCCATGGGCTGCCAAGGCTATGAAGCCTTCTGTGACCACAGACTCCATTGGAATTTGGACAAGGCATAAGCAAAGTGGATGTTCTCCCTTCAGGAAGAGTATAGCCTTGCAAAGAGTCTCTTAGTGTTGTTCACTCAACACACACTTACAGTGTCCTTACTGTGAATTATGTACTTATTTAGTGCACTAATAATTTAGGCCTGAAAAGTGCTAACATTTAGAGCCAGCTTCCTGCTTTTGGTAGCCAGAGTTCCAAAAGTTACACACACACACAGGTACAAGCTGTAAGGGACGGACATGGAGTCCTCTTCTGTTTCCTGTGTTACTCACTGTTATTCTTCCAAAACCCACAAAGAGCTTGGGTAGCTGTTGGCCCCAAATGCTGATATTACCATTAAGGTACGTGTTTGAACATATGAGCCATGGTAAATCCAGTGAAACATGCCCTGTGCTACTCTGAGGCCAAATAAAAGTCCTTAAGGCGTGTTCATAGTGGAACCAACAAAAACTTACTTGCATTTGTGACCAGATAGTTTAATGTGATGTTAAGTCACCTCTTGCCACTGACATTCTATCCAGCTACGTCTCAGGTGTCCAGACCTTAAGCCTAAAGGCAGCAGGCATCCATGCCTTGGAGTAGCCCCCCTCTGCCTTTGTCCTGGGTTTCTGTCTGAGAGCAGACAGGACACGGAAGGACTGAGTGACTGACTGCCAGGGGGGACAGGGAACCTCCCAGGCTGGGCTTCCTCCAGGAAATAAGGTCATGGTTGGATTCTTTGCAGTCGCACTAGGTGATGGCAGGACTACTTGAAGGCGTGATGGCCTGTTGCATTTAGAACGGCCGAGTTTAGGCGCAGGTCCCGGCACCTAAACAGTCTTCCGTCAAAGTTGTACCCAGGGCCTTGGAGCTGCTGGGACTCACTGACCACATGACAGTGGGAGGTGGAAGGTGAGCCCAAGCAGCCTAACGTGGTGAGGACCCCAGGGCAAGGAAGAAAACCCTGGCAACGATGGGGATAAAGTTCCCAAAAACCACAGGTGAGTCCTGCCAGGAGATCACTGCATTTGATTCAGAATTTTATTGCAAGCTGGAAAAATTTATAACTGTCATCCATTTATAAAAACAAGTTTATGTCTGCAGAAAGAATGCACCCATAGAAAGCATACAAAAATCAGTATTTAATGATTCTGGCAATAAATTGATGGCTATTTCATTGGTCTCAGGAAGAGCTGTAGATGACACAACCGTAAGGACCACGCGTGGACTCATGACTCCAACTGCTCCACATGTGTAGGCCAGGGCCGACCTGCTCCTCACCCTGTAAGGGCTCAGTAAAGCTCAGAGCTTGAAGCTCTGTGCCAGTCCAGGAAGTCCTTCTGTGTACCAAGTGAAAACATACCCCGTGCTTGGAGAGCTGGTTGGTAGTTCCATCTAACCGGTGAACACAGGCATGCTGAATGAGTGTGTAAAAGGATTAATTTGTGAACCGAGTGGAGAAATTCGAATAAGAAAGGATGAGTGGCTCATTGTCACCTCCTGGTTGATAGCAGGGTGATGATTAGGAGGATGGCAGGATGGAGTGAGTGACCCCAATTTAGGAAAACAGTTAGGGAGCAGTGGGTTAGGGCCCAGTGGAGGATTAGAGGGCACTATGAGGTCATACTTCTGATTTAGAAATCGATTTCAAGGCAATTAAATATCAAGCAAACATACTTGGGGAAAGAAGTGATTTAAATATTACTTTCCCATCTTGTGATGCGACCTACCCAAATATTCCATGCTTCTAGGCAACAGCCCCTGTTCTTCCTCAGCACCTTCGCCCCCCCCCACAACCCCTTTGTCACACCTGTCCTTGGATCTGTATCCCTCCCCTGGTGCTTTGCTTCTGTGCCACAGGCTGGACCGTTTTAACTAAGAAAAGCATCATACAAAAATCAGCCTCTGTGTTCCTCTTCCCAAGTGTGTGGCTGAACTCCTCTGCAGATCTCAGTGTGAATCCCCGGGGAAACAGACAGGGACTGCATAGTGAGAAGCCACTCCTTGTGGCTTGCATGGATGTCTACACTACCTATTCCCCAGACTGCACTTGACTTGGGTTTCACATTTTATTCCTTCTTTGCTCATGTCAGATAAAATAAAAATAATTCAGAAGATCATGTTGTTAAATGAAAGCAAAGCGTGATAAATTATGAGGGTCCGTGTCCTTTTGCTGATGTGATACGAGGATGATGCACCTACCAGAGGAAGGCAGAGAAACAATGGGTAACTTTTAGTGCACCTAGAAAAGCAGAGTGGCTGAAAGTATCATGGTCAAAGCCAAGACTCAGATACCAGACAAGCCATCAGGGTCCCCAAGCCTAGACGAGTGCCCTGACGTGTCCTCTGTGCAGCCGAGGGGCTGCGTGGTAACCCTAACACCATCCCTGTTGTCTCCCACAGGCAGCACCGTGCCAGCCCTGCTGAACAGCACGTCCAACCAGCTCTACCTGCACTTCCAGTCCGACATCAGTGTGGCCGCCGCGGGCTTCCGGCTGGAATACAAAAGTAAGATCCCCAGCTTCCGCCTTTCATGTGCCCCGTTACACTGAGTGGTTTTCTGAAAGGGAAAGCAGGCCCATGCTCCTGCTAGGCATGGCTCTCAAACTGTGCTTGAGAATGCGTGAAGTTTGATCCCATAAAACTTAGCTCTATAAACTACACATTATAAAAGGCTAATGAATGAGGAAATGTTAAATTTAGTTTCTGGAATAATTAGATAAAACCACCGCTATTATTTCAAGCTGTTTGTAATAATAAAAAAAAAAGCACAGAAACTAGTCATTTGTAATCGTATTGGTTTTCTGGTGAATGATGATAAATATTCGTATTAGCCTGCAAAACAGGAAACCCATAATTCCAGATAGATGGTAGTCATCAGCCTGCTCTGTTTCTGGTCTCAAAGACTGTTAAAACGAGAACTAGCAAAGAGCCGTCACTTCAGAGCCTGCCTTGCTATATTATTCATTTTAATTGGACGACGACATCGCAGAGGAGACTCTAACCTTTTAAAAATGGATGTGAGGCTGAGTTAATAGTCTGATAAATGGAATGACAAAGGTCAAGTTCACAGCTCTTCCTTGGCGTTTGATTATGCAGGTGAAACTTGGAAAAGCGACATGAGAATTTCCAGTGAGAGTGAGGTTTATTTTAGGACATGTTTTCAAGCACTAAAAATGCTTAATGTTGATATTCATCTCTCTTAATAAGCACTTGCAAAGAAGCAAATACATGGAAGAGCATTAATAACTGATCTTTGGAATTGAGATAAACAGTTTGCTGGGATGTAAATGCATGCACGGTTTTGAAAGGCCAGATCTCCAGCTGATGATAAGTATTCTGAACCAGACGCAAACCACAGGCTGTTTCACAATCTCGCTACATTTCCCTACTTATTACTGGCATTTGTATGCAAGTTTATTCCAATTTATATGAATAGGACTACTTTGGCGATGGTGTGAAATGTTTCTGTGGATGCTATTTATGGGGGATATGTCTGGGAAAATGTGCCACTTTGATACATTTTGTTAACATCTCTACATGGAAAAACATAAGGCTTATTCATGATGGTGTTAATAAATTCATTAATATTTCCAGCAATGTTAGGATGGATGGGTAGTACTGTCCCTCTCAGAGTTGCCTTGAAGATTCCGGCTTCTCATTCGTGTTTCACAGAAACAGGTGCCAGTGATACAATTAGTTTGTGATGATGGTTGGATAGACTTGTCCCTCAGCCACCCGGGCCTCAGCTGCTTCAACACGATGACCTGCTTCACTGTTTATTCCCAGTCAGTGTGAATCTTTAGAAGAGAAACACTAACACGTTTCTCGTTCAAGGGCGCCACGTTCGAGAATCCAAGGTTAACCACTTGGTGTGTCTGTTTTTCATTTGGCCACATGAAATGCCATGGTTTCATTTGTTGTATTGCTTTTGAGCGATTTTGATGGCTATACATTCTGATAGTTCCTGCCCTGGGCATTAAGAGGAAGTCATTTTTCTGTTCTACTCCTTGTGCCAGAATTTGGGATGTGGATTACATCGTGTTTGTAGAATTACTTTGCTAAGCTCAGCATCAAATGGTACAAGGAATGTTGACCTAAGTTGACCAAAGATTTTACAACACAGTACAGTTAATCCTTTGACATATTTCTGGCACTTCACTTAAAGTATGTGTGCCCAACCTGCAAGTCCCTAAGTTCTCACTGTACTCTCCAGCCACAGCTGAAATGAGAGCGTGTGTGGGCATCACTCCATGCCCAGTGAGCACCAGACGTCTGCTGGCTCTCCTGTGTCCTCAGAACCGCTCTTGGTATCTGAGGGTCTGCAGTGTTCAGAGTGAAGAACCCGGGCGTGGAGTGCGTGGAGTGGACCACCCGGCTGGTCGCACATGTGCACAGGTCAGCTCCCTCGGGCAGACCCTCGTCAGCAGTTTGGGAAGTGACCCAGATGCCTGATCAGAATGATTGTGCAGAGGAGCCCTGTGATACCGGTGTTGAGGCCAAGCATCGCTGGTGCTAGCTGCTGCGTGGAAGGTGAAGGCATGGGGAGGCCGTGGTGCACCTCCAGTCTGTCTGCTCTCACTCCTAGGTGGAGAAGAGTACACCACACCTGGTCCACCCGATGGGCTCCAGGTTCTTCATAGGGAAGTGAACACCAGGCTCTGAATCATAGCAGGCCATCAGGCCAAATGGACACTGATAGGAATGCTCAGACCCAGCACAAGCACTGCACTTGAAGGGAGGGATTGTAAAATGTTCATGAGAGCAAGAGTGATTCCAGCACGTTATGGTGTGATCTAGATTCCTGAGTCAAAGCTCAGAAGCTCCAGGTATCTCCCTGCCGCCCGTGCTGTGCAGCTCACAGCACACCTGGGAGTGAACACCAGTGTTAGTTCACTCGGGTCGGGTGGGGAGGCTGCCTTCTGCTTTCCCGTCCTCCCACAGGAGGCTGCAAGGATGCAAGGCCCTTACACAAGCGGTCACTGCGTCTTGGCCCTGGCAGCCTCAGAGCCTCCTTTATGACCGGGCTCCTGGCCTGCAGCTTCTGTCACCGACACAAGGTCGATCCACATTTCTGAGACTGTCTGAGGAGCTTCTTTTACGTATTTCTCCTAGTGCAGGGGCTGACAGTGAATCATTTCACCTTTTGTTTTGTTGAAGAAGTCACCACACCACCTGCATTTTTGAAAGATGTTCGCACTGTCTACAAAACTCTGGATCAAAATTCCTTTGTCTTCAGTCCATTGAAGAAATGGCTGTGTTGTCTTCCCACTGCTTAATTAATCATGAGACGTCGAGAACCCTCCAAGTGAGGGAGCTCACTGATAGTCCAGGAGAAGATAGTTTAGTAAAAGTGGAGATCGTGTAGTCCCAGGGAAGAGTTAGGGAAAAAACGGCAGAGGAGACTCTGCTGTGACTAGAGGGACATAGTGGATCTGTGTGGAGGGCATGGGCGCCAGCAGCTTGGGACCCAAGAGTCTCCGCACCAGCGCTGGAAAGAGAGGTGAGACGAAACCGCAGTAGCCTGAGACACTGGTGGAAAAGCAGCTGGAAGAGCCTAGAGGGAACGAGGCTTGAATCCCCGTGGCGGAAAGTACACCAGCCTAACTAGAGGAGAGAAAAAAATAAAAGGGAAGGTGCAGACACGATTCTCTCTCCACTCACCTTACAGAGGCGTACAAACCGACAGAGCAGGACAAATACATACGTCACAGCTGTGCCAGCTTGGGACTGCGCCCGGCAATCAGCCAAGCAGAAAAACCTGACTCTGGTGGGGAGCAATAACAGGAGACTAAGACCTAGTGAATGTGTGGAGCTTATGAACTGGGACTGTGGAAAAAAAAAAACAACTGAGGGTGTGTGGGAGAACTCATGGTGTAGCTGAGACATGAGTAGTCTCGGTGGAAGGTGCCACAAGCTTGGGCAGCCCTGGCTATCCAGTGAGAGACACTGCAGGTGAATCTGAGCTTACAGTGAGGACTGCACAGATCCACTGTGTGGTCCTTGGGACAGAACAGATATTATACCCACAGGGGCTAGCGCTCAGGCACTAATTACCATCGAGGAGAGAACTCAGCTGAGTGGATTTACTTCCCTTCTGATTAAAAAAAGAGAGAGAGAGAAGATTTACCACGCCAAACCTGGGTTTGTCACCTTAGGCACACTCTTAACCCTGAAGAGCTGAACAGAGCTCTCTGGCCACACCCAGCACAAGCCTCCAGAGATTCACTGAAAGCAGACAGTCCACTTATCTCAGAGTCCTAGTACAATGATAAAGCCACCACAGCAGGAAAAAAAGAAGAAACCAACGAGTATCTCCACAAATGCCAAACAACAAACACAACAACCGAGGAAACAAGAACAAGGAAGACAGTATGATGCTCCCAAAAGAACATGGCACTTCAATACCAGATTATGAAGATGACGAGATAGGAGAAATGCAAGAAATGAAACTCAAAAAATTCATGCTAAGAATATTTAGAAGTAATCAAAAAAAATTCATGAACTACTGAAATCCATGCAGGACATGAAAGAACATCTCTCTCATGAAAATGAAATCTTAAGGAGGAATCAAAATGAAATGAGGAATTTAATAGAACATGAAGTTGAGATGTTGAAGAGAAATCAAAATTAAATGATGAATTCAACAGAACAAATAAAAAACACAATTGAGAGCCTTAAAAACAGAATCAGTGAAGCAAAAGAGAGAATATTAGATTTAGAATACAGAGCACAGGGAAGTATACAATCAAACCAAAACAAGAAGAGGAAATTAGAAATCTAAAAAATATTGTTGGGAATCTACAGGATACTATTTAAAAAACCAACATTCAGGTTCTAGGAGTTCCTGAAGGCATGGAGAGAGAGAAAGGATTAGAAGGCCTTTTTAGTGAGATACTAGCAGAAAACTTCCCAGGTTTAGAGAAAGAAAGAGACATCCAAGTACAGGAAGCACACAGAAATCCCAATAAACATGACCAGAAGAGATCCTAACCAAGATACATTGTAATCAAACTCACCATAGTGAAACATAAAGAAGAAATTCTAAAATGTGCAAGAGAGAAACGTCAGATTACTCTCAGAGGATCTCCAATTAGACTCACACCAGACTTCTCATCAGAAACACTACAGGCTAGGAGGGAATGGTGAGATATAGCCCAGGTACTAAGAGAGAAAAACTGCCAGCCCAGAATATTATATCCTGCAAAGCTCTCATTTGTGAATGAAGGTGAAATAAAGACCTTTCATAGCAAATAGAAATTGAAAGAATCTGTTACCACTCATCCAGCCCTGCAAAAGATGCTTAAAGATGTGTTACATACAGAAATATAGAAACATGGTCATCAATACAAAAGAAGGTAAAGGAAGAAAATCACTTACTAAAAGATCACAGGAATTTCAAAGTATATATTAGAAATATCTTTGGAAAAATGGCAGGGCAAAGTACTACTTATCAATAGTCACATTGAATGTTAATGGCCTCAACTCTCCAGTTAAAAGACACAGAC